AGAGAGAGAGAGAGAGAGAGAGAGAGAGAGAGAGAGAGGGGGGGAGAGAGAGAGAGAGAGAGAGAGTCCAGAAACTCGATAATCAATTTGCATTCAATAATCCGCGATCGTTAAGACGGATGTATTCGACGAAGCCGGCATCTCGGCGGGACCAGAACTACCGGGCCGGAAATCGGCATGCGGATTAGACGCTTTGTCGTACGAAGCGAGGCGAGCGAGCGTAGCCTCGATCTGCTGGTCCAGGATTCCGGTTTGCTTATGAATGGTTCATGTGCCGAGTTAACGCGCGCCCACGTACGTACGTACGTAGGTACATATCTGCGCTCCGCGCGTGCATTCAACCGCGCATGAATGTTTTACCCAACTACGGAAATTACGAGAAACGCCCCGACGATCGAGTACAAGCGCGAGTCTCGGAAGATCCAAACATCTTAGTGTCTTAAGATCTAATGACATGACAATTATAAATACTCAAGAATCCGAAAAGACGAGAGCTTAAAAAATCCAATAATCCGCAGATGCAATAATTCGAAGATATGAATATGTGTGTGTGTGTGTGTGTGTATGTGCGTGCGCGCGCACACTATATTTTATCGATGAAAATATTAATGCGGGGATAGTAGAAATTTAAGTATTCAAGAGGGTACAAGAACCTAAAAATATATCCGATAATATTGATTATCCAGATTATATTGAAATATATCTGTTTTACTTATTTAGTATAAGAATAAAACTTTTCTATACTTAACCCTTTGCACGTGCATTAAACGCACTACAATTGGAAATATCTTTATACATGTTTTATTTATTAAATGTATAGTAATAATTTTAATACACAATTAAAATATTTACAATATATTACTTTTATGAATAAATGAATGTCAATAATAGTTAACATAATAAGTAAAAATTTTGAATAAAATATTTTTAATGATATCCAAAAAATATAAACAATCATTTTTACGTAATATCTTTCATTATTTCTCTTCAGAGTTTTTCTTTTCACAATAATGTAAAGAATTTTTAAATAAAGCAACTAAAAATTAAATACCCATACCTTTTCGTTTCCCAATAGCCTCTGTATTAATTTTTTATAGCAGAAAAATTAATTAAAACGTGTTACTGAAATGAAATATTTACAGCATTATCATAACAATTTTAAGTATAAAACAAAACGTTTCGATTCTACCACATAATAGGCGTTGCCGTGCAAAAGGTTAAATCATTTATATCCATATGATTATGATTAATATAAAGTGTCCGAGAATGTTCATTGGAGCTGAATTGGGCTGGAAAAATAACGCACCCCGAGGGAAAGAGACGGGATGTAAAAAATTTCCAATACTCCATATATATCCTATAGATATATTTCACGATTATTTAATAACCCGTATGTCATGTAAAGAACACATGATATTGCAAATGTAACGAATAAGGCCGATTAAATTAATAATGTAAAGGACCCACGTCTCTGTTATACTGCGTCATACGCGCTACAATTATACGAAAATTAATGAATAACAAATGTACGCGGTAATAAAAACCGCCCTTATGACTTTGATATTTTCAGAATAAGAATAATAAGCGATCCATTATACGAAAGATCAGACATTTCAACGGTATTTTGCCAGCCCATTTCGACTTCGCGTTACGAAGCGCGTAAATGTAAAAAAGACATGCATACCCGCTTACTTGGAAAATGTAATCTGTTGCAGCTCGACGTAAATGGGCATCTCGGGGCCAAGTCGTCTCCATTCCGTCTGTCCTCGGTTGCAGGGGATAAAACATTCGATCGTCGCTTGCTCGCTCACTCGCCATTTCGCGCAATTTTCACCGAAAAACTTTGCGCTCGTTTTCATCGTAACTCGAGCCGAAATAGCGTCTCAAACAACGATAGGTTATCTTCGATTTACTTTTAGTCGTGCAACCTGAAAAAGGAGACAATAATTAAAGAGAACAGAAATGATATCTTTTTATCATTTCTAAAGAAGTACAAAAAATAGCGAATTTATTTTCAAATTTTATAACATACACTGAGAAAAAAAGCAATTGGATCGACAAAATTGATAGTCACAGATCATCAAAGAAATATTGTATTTATTCGACAACATACACATTAGTACAGCAATAAGTTGCATTAAAATCACTATATCTGCATTGATATAGTAATATTAATGTAACTTATTATTACACTAACGTTGAATAGATCCAATGTTTCTTTGGTGACATATGACTATCAATTTTGTCAATCCAACTACTTTTCTTCTTAGTCTATAAATACTGTTTAAACACTGTTTAAAGATCTTGATCTATTTTTTATGTATCTTTTATGTGTACACATATGCATACAGAGAATACACACAGAGAATACACATAATATACACAGAGAAAGAATTAAACACAGAAGCTAAGATATATCTGTATGGCAGCTGTGTTATTGAAATTAAGAACAGCTAATGTCATTGCCAAATATTATAAATCATATTATGAGTCATTCACAAGCTGAATTATAACTCCACAACTTTATCTTCTCACTTGTGTTTGTTTGGCGAGGAAAATTCACAATGAGAAGTATGTCTACACTTTCACATGATTTTAAGTACGATACTTCTTGCACATCCATTTCTTCCCATATTGTTGAATTTAAATGACGTCTCGACAACACTCTGCTATCTTCTGAGTGTCTCAGCTTGTACAACTGTGTATTAAAAGAAAAATATGGAGTGAGCAATTAAGAAGTGACGAGATATTTTCATTGCCTCCAAAGTGCAAATAATGAAGCTAATCTTAAACTTTTACAAAACATGCACATTTTGAAAGTACATCTGAATCCGGTTACAGCGTGTCTACGTATGCATAGAAAAAATATTTGTACTCACCTTAGAGGCCTTTCTAGCGCGGTCAAGGTCGATGACGTCCATGAGAAAAATCGCCAAATTGCGAGCCATTCACAAGTCAAATATATCTCCACAGCTTTGCCTCCTCGCTCGTCCTTAGCCTGACCAGGAATAAGACTCGCAACGGAAAGTATGTCTACACTTTCACACGATTTCAATCGCAGTATTTCTTGCGCGCCCATTTCTTCCTGAACCGTCGAATTCAAATGATATCTCGACAACATTCGACTATCTTCGGTGTACTAACTCGGTTTGTACAACTGCACAATAAAATGGAGGCAACGTTTGGAGAAAAAAAAACGAAGCATTTTCATCATCTCTAAAGAAGCGCACGGAATAGCGAATCTAACTTTAAATTTTTACGAAATATGAGCATTTTTCATGTACATCTCAACCGAATTACCCGTTGCAACGTGTCTATGGGTGCTTATGCGCTGTAAGCGTCATTCTATCTTCTTCCCGCATGTAATGAGCGATAAAGATAGAATGACGCTTACAACGCGTAAGCGTCCAAAGCGAACGCAGCCTATGTATGCATAAGAAAAATATATGTTTTCGTACTCACCTGAGAGTCTCCCGTAATACGATCAAAGTTGATGACGTCTACGAGAAAAGTCGCGAGCCGTTCACAAGCAGAATTATACTCCCACAGCTTCGCCTCCAGCTCGTCCTTAGCCTGACGAGGAATAAGACTCACAACGGAAAATACGTCTACACTTTCACACGATTTTAATCGCAGTACTTCTTGCGCGCCCATTTCTTCCCGAACCGTCGAATTCAAATGACGTCTCGACAATAGGCCTGTTCTTTGTAGTTGCACTGCTGAACTGGTGCAATATATTGAAGTGAAACAAATATACGTTTTCTCACTCTAACTTATTGCACTAGTTCAGTAGTGCAGCTACAAAGAACAGGCCTAATATTCGACTATCTTCGGTGTGCCTCGCCTGCGACTGCGCATGAAAACGAGATGAAGGCAACAATTGAAAAAAGACGAGAAACTTTCGTCGCATCCAATAGTAAAATTTGTTTAACGCTGCAAATACTTTAGAACAACGAATAGACTAATTGTATTGCTCTATCTGACGCTTCGAAACATTTGCAGTGTCAAGCGGACCCTAAGTAAATACGAAGGATAGCGAATCTAACCTTACGAAATTTTTATGAAATATGAACATTTTTTTTAATGCACAGATCTCGCCCCGACTATAAGTTGGAATGTTTCAATATATATGAGAGAAAAGACACACGCGTCTACTCACTTGTTCTCCTAACTCGATGCAAATCAACCGACTTTCGTAATTGTGATCGTCAAGTCGCGAGACACCCGAATCACGATCCCACAGAAGACTCGCCTTCTCTCAATCCTCTCAATGTAACAAAGAACGGGACTCGAAATGAGAACTTCGCGTTTTCATATGACTTTCATCGCGACACTTTCTGCACATCCATCTCGTCCCGACGATCGACTTATATGCTCGTTTCTATCAACTTTAGTTAACTTAATCCACTAGTTATTTCAACGAAATTGACAATCGCATTTCTTGTTAGTCAGAATTGGCAAATGTGATTGGTCAATTGCGTTGGAATAACTAACCATTAAATTAACCAAAACTAGTAAAAACAAGCACTCGAATAATGTCTAAACAACGTACCTTGAACCTATAGATTCATTTTTATATTTTGCTAACCTCGGCTTATCAAAAAGCACAAAAATCGACCGTTGTAAACTCGTATGTCCTCGCCAAAATTGTCACAATCACGTCCATACTTTTAAAATTATGGCACCGTTTGCCATTTGTAAGGAGAAAGAAAGAGATAAAGAGAAAGAAACAGAAAACAAAGAATACATTGGATGCGTTCAGCGAACTCAACAGTTGCACAACAGTTGAGCAATTCGTCAATGTAATTGGTCTAAAGTTAGAGATTTAACAGTAAGGACCAATAATCATTGACCGCTCTCTGATCAGCTATGTTTTCTGAACGCAGCCATTGGTTGCGTTCAGAAAACATAGCTGATCAGTGAGCGGTCAGTGATTATTGGTCCTTACTGTTAGATCCCTAACTTTAGGCCAATTACGTTGACTAATTACTCAACCGTTGTGTAACCGTTGTGTCTCCTGAACGCACCCATGAGCGCGTTCAGCGGAAAAAGCGCTCAGTGAGCAATCAGCGATTATTGGTTCTTACTGTTAAATCCCTAAATCTAGACCAATTACATTGGCTGCGTTCAGCATAGAAAGCTGCTTTGCAACTGTTGTAAAATTCGTGAATCTGATTGGTACATGCTCATGGATTTAATCAAAATTAAGAGCATAGTCCAATCAGATTCACGAATTTTACAATAGTTGCAAAGCAGCTTTCTCTGCTAAACGCAGCCATTGGACGCGTTCAGCGGAAAAAGCGCTCAGTGAGCAATCAACAATTATTAGTTCTTACTGTTAGATCCCTAAATCTAGGCCAATTATATTAACGAATTTTTCAACTGTTGTACAACTTTCGAGTTCGCTGAACGCACCCATTGGTTGCGTTCGGGAAAACACTATTTAGCGCTATGAGCGTCCTTTGTCCTTGTTCAACTTTCAGGAACAAACAAAGGCAGAGCACACTCATAGCGTTAAATAAGGTCTCTCCGAACGCAATCATTATAAATTAAGCTTAAAGCCTAATCTACAAAGTGCTTTTCGCTTCATGTTTCTTATTTTTTATTTTCTTCTAACTAAAATATCAAGATTTAGATCAGAAAGAGATAAACAATAAGAAACTTAAGGCAAAGAGCACATTGTAGATCAAACTTAAGAAAGTAAACTGCGATGTGTTTTGACATTTTGGTCGGTTATTGTCAAATGGCGAACAGAATTTGTGAATGCTAATCATAAATTATCGTGCTTTGTCCTAATTTTGACTAGAAAAACTCTTTACACGTACCTCTTCACATTTACCGGAATTTGAACGGCAGCTCGTGTATCACTCGGCTACTTTCGGTGCCCTTCGGCAAACAAGCCTCCGTTCCCGAAAGTTCGTAGCCCGCGTGATTTAAAAGCATCGCCAAAGTAATCGTTAGATTTTGCTAGTACACCAAAACTCATATACGCCTGGCCATTCTCTAAATTAATAGTGTTTTCGACTGAAACTTGTTTGCGTCATTCTGAAAACGTTAATGATGTCACACGGCTCTACAAACTAATCACAAAGCTTATATGTACGTGTCCAAATCAGTTATCGCTTCCAAAGCAATTGAAATCCGCTTCAGTCGAATACGCTATAAAAAGTTCTAAAAATTGTCAACCAGGAGCATCTATTTCTACGTTATATTTCATGAAAAGAAATCCATACGTTAATCGTGATGATGCAAATACGACAATCGAGGTAAAACCTATTGCCCAGTTATTATTTCAAAATTATTTTCAATAAATTCTCTTCTCTGCTCTTAAAATATCAAGATTGAATTCACCGAGAACACATGGGAAGAATACTCGACAAGTGCTCAAGCAGAATATCCACTATGTATAACAAGCGGGAGCTTGAACTTCCCGCGGAAGGACACTCACAAACATGGCGCGTCAGCGCCGCACATAAGTGTAACGGGTGGACGCCGTGAGCAGGACAACATTGTCGATGAAAGAATTCACCTCTCTGTCGTGATATTTTGTTGTCTGTACAAATTTCGACTTATTCTACGCAATGAATCTTTGAGGACGTCGATTGAGGACACGATAGGACATTTCATCCGTTCAAAACGAGGCAGGACGAGGTCCATTTCGATCATCGCATAGGACGTACATTGGCAAAAAATGTCACAGGACGACGTTGGATTTTTGTATAAAACTATGAGTAAGTTATAACATAATTTCTAAACAATTTGCGTCCCGACAAGAAGCAATGAAACGTTAAGCTATTTGCAAAAAATTATATAGTATTGTGAATTTTTGTGATAGCATAAAATTTTTATGAAAAATAATTGATAAAATATTTATAAACATATTTACATTTTTTATCTCGTAGTAATATTTAAACTTGTCCTGTTTTACTGTTAAATAATTAGAGCTGAATTTTGCAAGCAATATATAATCAAATAATAGAGAAATAAAATTGTTAAAATTTGTATGGGCATTTCTCCAATGAATATTGATATGTGAATATTGTATTTACATAATTTATTTTGCAAGTGTAAGTGTAGGAGATTATATGTTAATAATTATTTTCCAATTGGCTTATTTTATACATAATATATTCTTATCACACTTTGAAACCAAGTCATTAACTATTCTTACATCTATTGAAACATTATTCTGATGCCATATACAGTGCTGTTATCATACTTGTCATTATTACTATGCAATTGTTGGTAGGAATTATTGATTAAATGTTATAAATAATGCCAGTATATTAAACTAATGTGTAGATATTAAATATGCATTATTTAATACATATGAAATATTTGCAACAAACTATGCACTATATATTTATTGTACCCTCTATTATTGTGCTTATTGTATGTATGATTTATTAGTTTCTATTATTGCAAATAATCTATTATTACTAAAAGTCCATATGTGCTAGCAACTGCTTCATGATAATAGCCTAGTTTACCATTTGTGAATACACAATATTCACCATAATAACCATAACTGACTAGTTTATTATTATTACAACTTCGTTACTGACATGCGTAAAATTAACCTAACATATTACCGGTAATACAGTCATGCGCGTAACACACTTGGGTGCGTTATATGTGAATCCGTGTGTATGGGCGTGTATATGTGAATCCGTGTGTATGGGCGTGTGTATAATGTGTGTGTATGTGTGTGTGCAAGGGACAGCTTGAACATGTAATAGGAGACTTAGATACTGTGTGAATCTGTGGTGTGTCAAAGCAGTAATGAAAACTACAAAGAGATATTGATAGTTTGTACTGTTGAGAATACTCAAATTTCAATCAAAGATACTGAAGAAATTGGAAGCATCATGACTAGTCCATGTATGTTCAGAAGGTTGAAGTACAGACATAACCTATAACTGTTTATACATCATATTTTACACAGATAATTCAATCTAATACATTTTTTGTTAGTCAGTGATAAATACTTATATATATATATATATATATATATATATATATATATATATATATATATATATATATATATATATATATATATATTTTTTTATATATATATATATATATATATATATATATATATATATATGGTGTCCCACAACTGGTAGAACCGTTAGGGGTTGGCAGAATTAATTGATTAATATATTAACTAATTGTCGGATCCAAAAATGGAAGAGGAACTTTCAGTTCCAAATTTCACCTACCACACCTTCCGCGTTATTGGACGCGTCAACGGATATTGACGTTTTTACAAAATAACGGAGGACTCTCGCTTCTTTGCTGTTTACTTGCCGGCAAAAAGCACCATCACCGAAATGCATCCGCGCGGTATTTCTCTTCGCGCT